GCCAGATTGTGTAGGCGTTGGTTGATCTGCTGTTATTTCCGCCATAACAATGAATTCTTCACTCCACTTTTCATGAATCTTCAGACAGTGTTTTTTCAAATTACATTTCCACCAATACTCTTTTCCACAGACAGTACACTTGAACTTTTTTATGCCACTGTGCACTCTATAATGCCTCTTCATAATGTCATTCGTGGCAAAGATCTTGTTGCAAACGGGACACGTGTGCTCACCTTTGTTAACAGATATCATGTTATTCAACTTCATATGCATCTTAAGGCAGTGTTTTTTCAAGTCGGTCTTCTCTTTATACTGTTTTTTGCAAACTGAACACTTGAATGGCCTTACTCCACTGTGCACTGTYATATGTCTTTTAAAGTTGGAATTCTCGCTGAAGATCTTGTTGCAGATTGGACACTTGTATTCTATTTTCYCAGTGTGCACTRYCTGGTGCTTGTTCARGAGAGCTCTCCTTGGAAACTTTTCRTCGCAGAGTGTGCAATGATATCTCTCCTGGTCGTGAGTTTTAAGATGATCTCTCAAACCWGTTTTTGTAACAAACGYTTTACTGCAGATTGTACACTTATGTGGYTTCTCTCCAGAGTGCTTGTAAGAATGRGAAGTCAGAGACAMCTTGTGTGCAAACGTTTCAGAGCAAATCTCGCATTTAAATGGTTTTGTGTGCAACAAGAGATGACTCCTCAAACTCTGCCGATGCTTGAAGGTTTTATTACAAAATGTGCACTGTAGGGAATTTGCTKTATGCAGTAAAGAGTGAATGTTCAGATTGCTCTCCTCCTTAAAGCTTCGACCACAAACTTTGCATTTAAATCGCTTCTCAACGTTGTGTGAATTGCAGTGATTCTTGTACTTGAAGGATTCGCCACAAACTGTGCACTTATTTTGGATTTCTCCAGTGTGCTCCATGACGTGATTTTGCAAGGTACTTGTATAATTATATGCCTTGTTGCAGATAGGGCACTGTGGTTTTCCATTAGTGTGTCTAACAAAATGGCGCTTCAACTGAATATTCGTTTTGAATGTTTCACTACAAACACTGCATTTGTATCTTTGGGAATTGTGTTTAACTCGAGAATGCTCCATAAGAAGAGCTTTTGTATTGAGCRTTTCAAAGCATMTTGRACACTCGTAACCGTTATATATGCCTTTAGTGTATTTAGTGTGCATCTGAGCAAAATGCTTGTAAAGATTCTCTACGTTTCCCAATTCTTGATGACAAATCTGRCATTTGAGGGCACATGACTTTGTAGTGTCAGCGAGATGTGATTCTAAGTGAACCTTAAGTATTGATATTGATGGGAAACCTTTCAAGCATCTACCACATTTAAACAGTTCTTTTGCATTACCGTCATCATGTGATTGACCATGGTTCTCAAGGGTTTTTTCACAGTCAAATTTYCGCTTGCAGACATTGCATGYAAATGGTCTGTAAGAGCATTCACWATCAAGATGATTTTCTAAAAATGTYTTCTCTGCAAATCCTGTTTTGCAATGCTCACACTTGTATGGCMTTTCCACATGCCTCTTAAAATGACAATCTAAGTCGTGACTATTTGTAAAACACAGTTCACAGATTTCGCACTTGAAGACTATTTTCAAATTCTGTATTTCGTTGTGATTATTYGCACTAGCACAGGTGAYATTCAGACGGTTCGTTTCAGGCTCATCATTCTCAGTAGTGGGTTTAGATGAACTTCTAGTCTCACTTTTGTGTTTTGTCTCTTGATGTTCGTGAAGTTCTTTTCTTGTAGTGTACCAGATTGAACAGACAGTGCAAAGAGAGAGTATGGACGCAATGTCTTGAGGGTTGCCTGAAGAACTACTAGTTGCGTCCACATTAGCATGTTCTTGACCGTTGCTGCAATTATCTATTTGTGGTTGTTCTTTGCTATAAGGTAGGTCTTGTTGTTCATGCACTTCCTGTAGTTTGCTGGTAATGACTTGCTGCTGTTGGTTTTGCTGTTCCTGTTGTTCACAGAGTGGTTCTTGTTGATCGTGTTCTTCCTGTAGGTCGTTCTTGTTGATCGTGTTCTTCCTGTAGGTCGCTGTTGATGACTTGCTTTTGCTGCTCTTGTTGTTCACAGACTTGCTGTTGTTGCTGCTGTTGTTGCTGCTCCTGTTGTTCACAGAGTTGTTCCTGTTGATCACACTCTCGCTGTAGTTCGCTGGTAAGCACTTGCTGTTGCTGCTCCTGTTGTTCACAAAGTGGTTCTTGTTGACCATGCTCTCGCTGTAGTTCGTTGGTAATGACTTGCTGTTGTTTCTCCAGTTGCTGTTGCTCCTGTTGTTCACAGAGTTGTTCCTGTTGATCACACTCTTGCTGCAGTTCGTTGGTAATCACTTGCTGTTGTTGTTTTTGCTGTTGCCTTTCCTGTTGTTCACATAAATGTTCCTGTTGTTTTTCTACACAGCTTCCTTTTCCATGTGCTATCCTTTGATGTTTCTGCAAACMTGTTCTTCTACTAAACCATCTGTTACACTGTTTACACAAAAASAGCTCAATCTTCTTTATGTGGCCAGAAGATGTTTCAGCTGTTTGMGAAGACTCACCAGCAGTTACAACAATTGARGTTATCGGATCTTTGCACTGAGAATCACAGTCTTCTTTTGGTTGCTTCTTTTTGATGTTTTGAACTTGAATGAAACGTGCACCAATTGTTTCTACCTTAAAAGCTTGTTCTTGACGTATCTTCATCAAGTGCATTGATTGATTGTGGACCTCTAAATCCATCCTAACAAAAAACCACAAATTACACTCTTTACAAAGAAATAAACACGGATTGGAAACTCTACGAGGAACACCCTCGGTAGTACCAGAGGCCAATTCTGGAGTAGATTT